TTACTACCGGTTCTGTGGACGTGGCTTATTTTGTGGGCGTGGCTTGGTGGTCATGTGACAATTATTTAGGATTTAGTAGAGGTACTGATCTACCAGGCTTTTAACTGCTTGCAGAGCTGTACCGGTCTACTCATTTGTTTTTGGAGGCACCGGTCTACTCATTTGTTTGCTTTTAACACTGATCAGCTGTAGGGCGGCCCTTTGAAGCCCTGTGACAAGAGTTTAAACAGTTTTTTTCCCTCTAGCCATCAGCTGGGACTCAGGAGGCAGCAATAGATTGGGGGTGGGGCCAAATAAAAGGTAAGAATAACATGGGGGGGCAGGGGGCGGGGGAAGAACCGGTTCGGTGATGTCATATCGTCACCGCTACCGGCTCAGCGGAACCAGACCGAATTGGGAGGAACTCACCACTGGTATGGATGGATGGATGGATGCCTGCTTTTCTCTTTCTTTCTTTCTTTCTTTCTTTCTTTTTCTTTCTTTTTTTCTTTCTTTTCTTTTTCTCTTTCTTTTTTTCTTTCTTTCATCTATCTATCTATCATCTATCTATCATCCATCCATCCTTCTATCCCATCTGTTGACAGGTGCAGGGTGGACTGTTTTGGTCATGCTGAGAACTCTATATACTGGTACCATGGTACCCGAAAATAAGACCCTGGTTATATTTTTTTGAACCCTGAAATAAGCCATGTGCTCAAAAGCCCAATTGGGCTTATTATCAGGGGATGTCTTATTTTGGGGGAAACAGGGTATATATTTTGGGGGGGGGAGAGAAAGCATCTGTATCTTTTCTGCAGGTTCAGCTGTCTAAAAAAAAAAAAAATGAGCAGTTCTTGAAGCTGCCGAGATACGAAACGGGCCAGAGTGAACTCCAGTCAAAAGGCAGGGCTCCCAATTTAGCCAAACACGTTTAAGCTGTTACGAAAGAAAGTTTGCCAGCAAATTGAAGAAGTAGATAGTCAAAAGAGACGATGGTATAATCCGATGGTTTTGCCTCTATAGCTTCAGAAGTTCTAGCTGGTTCTCTGCTTGCACAGACACACACACACACATATATATTAATTCACTTCCTGTCTGTACATCTGCTTCCTCTACTAAGCGATCCTGCTTGCAGTTTTAAAATATCCTTTGCAACTTAGAAGAAGCCACACTGGTGAACAGCCACCGAACGCCTAGCAGTCCTGATTCCACCACAGGTAACCAAGTGCGGCTTCAATACATGAGGGAGTATTCTGTGTATTAACACAAATACTTTCCTTCCCTGGAGCTCTTGTGTGTCTACACCAGGGGTGTCAAACTCACGGCCCACAGGCCAAGTCTGGCCCATGGGGTGCTTAGCTCTGGCCCACAGGGCTACCCTGGAAACAGCGAAGGACCAGCCCGCAGTGCCTCTGCCAGTGAAAATGGAGCTTGGGGGGGGCAAGGGGGAGGGCTCTGCAAAAGAAACTAAGCCAAGGAAGCTATGTTTTCTCTTTTGCATTTGAGCATCCAAGAAGGGACAGGGGAAAGAGGAACGACAAAGAAAAAGAAGGGAAGGTGAGAAGAGAGCAAGGAAGGAAGAAGGAAGAAGGAAGAGGGAAGGAAAAAGAAGAAAAGGAAGGAAGGAAGGAAGGAAGGAAGGAAGGAAGGAAGGAAAGAAGGAAGGAAGGGATTATAATGAGAGGGAGGGAGGGTCTGAGGGAATTCCTGCCTTAGCACTTGGCCACCACAGGTACCCCCCCCCCCCAACACGAGTGACTTCGGGCTGGCCACGCCCACCCCACCCATGCCCCCAGGTCAAACACAACCATGAAGCGGCCCTCAATGAAATCGAGTCTGACACACCCCTGGTCTACGCAACTGCCCTTCAGGTCCTCTCCCATCAAGACCAACTGAGGGTTGTGGATGGATGGGATTGAAGAAGCCTCTTTGCAACCAGACGAATACAGAAACTTTCCCCTCATCGACTCCAGCGGTTAAAAATATATACTCCTCCATCACTTTGTTTTTAAACTTGGAACAGCACAGCCTGGAACAAAACGATTGTAACTATTAATAAAAAAGTTGTCCTGAAGGAGGAGGAATAATTTATAGCGCTTGCATTTTTTTTCCCCAAAGGACAAACTGACTCTTGTCATTTTGGGCTTTTGACTAATTTAAGCGTATTTTACTTTGGGGAGAGGAAAAAGGGAACAAGGGTAGGGATAAAAACCACAAAAGGAGCTTGTTTAAAAGCAGAAAAGATCCTCATTTTTCTATGACTAATCTGTACCAGCTCCTGATAAAATGGCAAAATGCTATTTCACGTCGTGACCAACTGGGGCCTATTAGGTGATTTGCAAACAGCCTATTCCTTTCCTCAAAGGTGTTTACTATAACTGCAGGTAGACCTCAATTTATGACCGTTTGTTTAGTGGCCACAGTTGCAACAGCACTGGAAAAAAATAACTCACAAGCCCATTCTTGCAAATTCCAACGGTGGCAGCATCCCCGTGGTCACGTGATCAAAATTTGGGTTGCTTAGCAACCGGCATGTATATATCAGGGGTCTCCAACCTTGGCAACTTTAAGACCTGTGGACTTCAACTCCCAGAATTCCTCAGCCAGCTTTGCTAAAGTCTTAAAGTTGCCAAGATTGGAGACCCCTGATATATGTATGACAATTGCAACCTTCCCAGCTGGTTTGCGATGAAGTCAATGGAGGAAGCCAATTTTGCTTAACGGCTGCAGTGGTTCATTTAACAACCGTGGGAAAAGGGGTCACAAAACTGGGCGCGACTCCTTTCACCAACATTTTGCTTAGCAATCAATGGAAGTCATAAGGTGAGGACTACCTGTACTTAAGTCTGGCGCTTACTGACAGTCTAGCATTTCCTGGTGGTCTCCTTTCCAAACGCAAGCTAGGTCAGTCCCTGCTTTCTGACACCAGCCAATATCGGAAAGCACAAGGACATTTCAGTCAAGGCAGATCAGAGCCACCAAATGCAACAATGAACATTTTCCACAGGCGGAAAACAAACCCAGATTAGTGCTAGATTGCAACTATTCCTGGAGGGCAACCGCAGTAACCATGAGCCACAGCCAGGAAACTGTGATGCAAAGTTCAGGGACCATTTAAGCCAGGAGACCCATCGCAGGACAAACCGAGACGAGGGAATGGCTGGAACAGAAATGAGCCAGCAAGAGTTTCGGCGTCAATGACATGAGATTGAAAATTCTGGATCCACACTATTTCAAACAAGGATTGCAAAAATGCAGGCAGTCCTCAACTTACGGCCACAACTGAGCCCAACATTTATGTTGCTAAGCGAGACATTTGTTAAGTGAGTTTTGCCCCATTTTACGACTTTTCTTGCCATGGCTGTTAAGCGAATCCCTACAGTTGATAAGTTAGGAACCCGGTTGTTAAGTGAATCTGCCTGGTTAGAGGGTCGCAAAAGGGGATCACATGAAACACCCCCCCACACCGGACACTGCAACCGTCATAAATGTGAGTCATTTGCCAAGTGTCTGAATTTTAATCATGTGACCCTAGAGATACTGCAATCGTCATAAGTGTGAAAAATGGTCATAAATCACTTTTTTCAGTGCTGTAGTAACTTTGAATGGTCACTAAGCAAACTGTTGTAAATTGAGGACTACCTGTAGTTGGAAACCCTTCAAAAGCACAATCATCATCTGGTGCGGATCTCCTACAAAGAGGAACCAACCGGACGTAAAATCCTGCCATCATGAGAATATTACAACAATCCCACCACCTACAGATCCAGAGACAAAGGAGGAAAATCCAGACACAGCATTTTACTACAGGATGGGAAGCGACTGGATTAAAGGGACCAGCTCCTGCTGTCCATATGCTCAACACATGTAGCCATTAAATCCCTTCATATTAGAAGTCCATTGATACACACCCACAACTCATCACATCCAAAGTCCAAATTAAGTTCAAATGTCTTTGATTAAAAGGGGGGGGGAATACACTCCAGTTTACGATTTACGTCTTGAAGACAGTTTCGTTTAAGATTGACGTTTGGGATGCAGCACAGGACCACCAACCCTATTTTCAATGAATACTTTAAAAACAAAATACACACACACAAAACCCCATTTCCAAGACAGTCACTTAAAAGGACCCCAAACCCAGGAAAAGATGTCAGCTTCAGAAGTAAGAAAAGATGATCTGGAGGGGAAGGGAAGAGCTCACAGGTGGTCTGGGACAAATGCTACCTTCTGAAGGACAAAAGGGGTTGGGGGGAGGGAGAATTGTGCATTGGGGGGAGGGGAAGAGCAGCCTCTCACCCCACCCGAAGACCCTCCAAGGACCCGCTGCTCCTCATCTCTGGCTCTCCCCGAGGGTCCTGGGCTCTTTCCAATGCGCAAAAGCGGAGAGGCGCAGCTACTGTCTTAAAAGTTTGTTAAAAGGGGGGGAGGAGGAAGGGGGCAGCCCGGGGGGGGGGGGGAAGAGGTAGATTATCCGAGCGCCCCTAAACCCCCTTCCACCGGCCGGGGGGGGGGGGGAGCCGGAGCCAGCCCAGGCGGGGAGGGCAGAGGACTTGGCCCCCGGAGGGCTGGCAAGGCAGATTGAGGAAGCCCGGCCGCTTGGCCAAGGCGCCCCGAAGCCAGCCACGTTTGGCGGGACCCTTTGTCTCCAGCGGCCCTAGACGGGTCGGGGGCTCCCCTGAGAGGCGCCCCAACCTCCTGCCCGCCGCGCCCAGAGAGCCACGCAGCCCACAGAGCCGGGGAGGGAAGCGGCTGCCCTGGCCCGGAGAGCTCGTGCGCTTGGCCCCCGCCCGCCTGGTTGGGGAGGTCGAGGGAGGGGAAGGGGGTCCCCCAAGCCCCCCCCCCCCGGGCCCGGGCCCCGGCCGCCCCCATCTCTGGCCAGCCTGGCGTCCCTCCCGCGCACCGCGCCTCCGCCCGCTTCCAGCCTTTGTGCGCCAAGGGAGGGAGGGAGGGAGAAAGCCCCCCGGCCGCCCCCCCTTCCCTCCCGCCAGCCCCCTCCTCAGTCAACAGCCCAGCCCTACCGGCAAGCAGAAGGCAGGAAAGGCCGGGAGGGCAACGCTTCCCTCCCCGAAGCCAGCCGCTGCTCCGCCTGGGCTCTCCCTCGCCACTGCCTGCCTGAGCGGCTGGGTGGCTGGGTAGGTGGGCTTCTCTCCTCCCGGGCGCCGCCAGCCAGCCAAGCCTTCCTCCTCCTGGCCGGCCGAGACGCGCCTTGTAAGGGCTGCGGGGCGGATCGGCCCCGCCCGCCTGCTGAGTCACGGGACCGGGACCTCCCCTCGCTCTCCCGCCCACCCACCCACCCACCCACCGCCAAGCGGGCAGCCCCCCACTCGTGCCCCGCCGCCGCTCGCCTGGCGGCTCCGGGGCTTTTGTGGCTTCAAGCCGGGCTTAAGCCTTTGTTTCCGCGGGCGCTGGGGAGGAAGAGGGGCTCCCGGGGGGAGGGGTCGGCCAGCTGAGACCCCCGCGGGGGAAGCCCACGCGGAGGCTCAGAGCGAGGGGGGGCTGCGACGGGGGTCCCCGTTGAGTCCAACGCGCGGAAAACAAAGGCCGTCTTCAATCGGTGGGGAGCAGGCTTGGCAGGCGCCCCCCGAGTCCCTGCGGCGACCCTCCCCAGCCTCTGCTGGAGCCCGTCCTACTCCCGAGGAAGCCAGCTTTCCCCTCCCCTCCCCCGGGTTTCTTGGGCAACCACGCGCCCCGGAGTCTTAATGGCCCTTAAATTAGGGGGGCTGGAGAAGAGCCAATTTTATATCTCTCTTCCCCCCCCCTTTGAATGTCATTCAAGCAGCTGGATTCGTGCATTGCAAGCATCTGGAAAGAGTTTTTTTTTCCCCTTAATGCAACATGGCTGCATATATGTGGGTACATTCTATCTATCTATCTATCTATCTATCTATCTATCTATCTATCTATCTATCTATCTATCATCTCATCTATCTATCATCTACCTACCTACCCATCCACCCATCTATCTATCTATCTATCTTTCTATCTACCGATCTATTTATCTATCTATTTTACCATGTTTATGTTTATATTAGAGATGGAGGCCCTTTGAGAGCTGCATGCAACATAATTTCATTTTAATGTATGCCGATTAGTATCTGTTTAAAGTAACCATAAAGCTATTCTGTTCTATTGTGCTTGGTGGGTCAATGGGGCTTGCTCCAACAAGCCATGGTTTAGTCCTGGTTTAGGAGGGTGGGCGAGCCTAGCGTCACCGAAGTTGGCTTTGCACCCACCCCCCCACCCCCAAAGGTGAGTCAAGTTGGATGGAAGATCTTTTGTTGAGGAGGCCATTGGGAAGCTATTCAGTTATTCCGTTGTTCAGAGAAAGGGTTTGGATAGGGCTCTGCATGATCTCATTACAGGATTATTTTATTTCAAAACAAGGGACATGGAACAAAGTCATCCTGATGATCTAATCCGGGTTATTTTTCATCAGATAAGGGGGTTATGAGAAAAAAAATGGTGACTAGTTTGAAATACAGACAGACCTCAACTTATGACCGTAATTGAGCCCAATATTTATGTTGCTAAGTGAGAAATTTGTTAAGTGAGTTATTTTACGACTTCTCTCTCCACGGTTGTTAAGCGAATCCTGCAGTTCTTGAATTAGTCACATGGTTGTTAAGTGAATCGTGCTTTCCCTGTTGAGTTTGCTGGTCAGAAGGCCGCCAAATGGGGATCACGTGACCTCAGGGACTCTGCAACCGTCATAAATGTGAATCTGTCATCCAAATATAAATCACGTGACCATGATAGGGTCGTAAGTGTGAAAAACGGTCATACATTGCTTTTGTAACTTTGAATGGTCATTAAATGAGCTATACTAAGTCAAGTACTACCTGTGATCGGTTGGCTAGCAGTGTGTAACTTTTCTTTTTTTTTTCAAAATTTGTAATTTTATTATAACATATATATATGACATTCACATAACATACAACATATACATATCTTATCTCTTTTAAACATTGTTTCTTCGTGGTCTTCTTTCTATTATTTTATCTTTCCTCCCCTATGTCTTCATTTCTTTCTTTTTTCTTTTTCCCCATTGTCCTTTTTACAATATGTTTTTCAGCTTTAACAAGCTTAACTTTATACATTTCTCTACAATTATTATATACATATTTTAATTATATCTTTAATATTATACATTTCTATATTCTTGTTATATAAAAATTTTCTTTTTTATTTATACTGCTTGTTTTTGTCCGTTTCAATACATTTTTATTCCGCTCCCTACATTTGTCATGTATATTTTTTATACTTCTAATTTTCTCCCCTGATAGTTATTATTCTTTATTTCTCACCTTAAGCCATTTATACCATTTATTCCATATTCTATAATAATCTGTCCCTTCTTTTTCTTTCATTTCTTTTGTTAATCTATCCATCTCAGCACATTCTAAAATCTTATCTATCAATTCTTCCTTAGTTGGAGTTCTTTCCTGTTTCCAATTTTTTGCATATACTATTCGTGCTGCTGTTAATATGTATAGCATCAAATATTTTATTTCCTTGGTATATGGAAAGTGTGTAAGTTATAAGTTTCATTTTTGGTTCAATTTACATCCATTGACTAAAAGAATAGTAACATCTCTGTGTTTCTCAACCTTGTCACTTTAAGATGAGTGGACTTCAACTCCCAGAATCCTCCAGCCAGCTGGCTGGGGGATTCTGGGAGTTGAAGTCCATTCATCTTAAAGTGACAAGGTTGAGAAACACAAGTTAAATAGTAAAGCCTACCTCCCTAGCAAATCCTGGTGGTTGCCCATCCAAACACAAACCTATTCCTATTTCCCTACTTCGCTTTCAAAGGTGCGTTTTGAAAAGGCAACTGGGTTTCCTTTGCTTTTCCTAAAAGACATTTCGCTTCTCATCTCTCAAGGAGCTTCTTCAGTTCTTCCCTACAGAACTTGAAGAAGCTTCTTGGATGAGAAGTGAAACATCTTCAAGGAAAAACGAAGGAAGTCCCAGTTGCCTTTTCAAAAACGCACCTTTGGGACAACCACGATTGAGAATCTCCATAGATACTTGGTAGCTTTCAAGGTGTTTTTTTCCCTATTTTGCCCCTATTTGGAGATGCAAGAACCTTGCTGGCTTCCATCGTTCTCTTTAGTAGAGAATCCTTCTTTATAACTGGTGTTTGGTCTTGGGCGACGAGAGAATATTGATTTCTCTAATGAGTAACATTTCCTTTGAGATGGTGAGATGGAGGCTGGAAGTGGGTGGGGTTCTTTTACACTAGCAGATCTATGTGAGCAAAGAAAAAAAAAATAGGCCAGCTTTTTAATTAAGATTAGTTGGCTGATATATGGAGGAAGGAAGGGCGTTTTCTGTAATGGCACCCAGACTTAGTGGTTCAGTTTGAAGGGTGGCATTGGAAGGGAAAAAGAGCCAGCTTGGTCTAGCGATTAAGGTACCAGCTGGAAATAGTGAGTTCTAGTCTCTCCTTAGCCATGAAAACCAGCTGGGTGACTTTGGGCCAATCACCAGGAGATGGTGAATTCTAGTCCCACCTTAGGCATAAACCCCACTGGGTGGCTTGGGTCATTGCCTCCTCCTTAGGGCTGTGAGAGCCTCGCTGGCCTAAGGTCATCCGGCTGGCTTCATTCCTAAACCTGGACTAGAACTCACAGCCTCCTGGCTTCTAGCTTGGTGTCTTAACCAACAACACCCAGTCACCCTCTCATATAGTATCAGGTTATTGGATGGGTGCTGTGATATCACAATGCACACACACAATTATAATGACAGCTTGCATTGGATGTCTATGGAGTGAGTTCTGTTAAGCCAGTTTCTTCTGTTTCAGAGACAGCCCAATAAAGGTTTCTTCCATCTTTGCCTAATCAGAGCCTGGGTGGCGCAGTGGTTAGAGCGCAGTACTGCAGGCTATTTCTGCTGACTACCGGCTGCCTGCAGTTTGCCAGTTCGAATCTCACCAGGCTCAAGGTTGGCTCAGCCTTCTGTCCTTCTGAGGTGGGTCAAATGAGGACCCAGATTGTTGGGGGCAAGAGGCTGACTCTGTAAATCATTTAGAGAGGGCTGTAAAGCACTGTGAAGCTGTATATAAGTCTAATGGCTATTTTTTTCTGCTTTTATTGTCTTGTTTTAGACTTTATTCTGGTCACAGTCATGTGATGGATTAATTTCTTGAGTGCATTGTAAATAAAACAAAAACAAAAAAGAGAACTGGGAGATCCTGTTAGATAAATTATTAGTACAACTATAGCAGATGTTGAATTTTCTTTTGGAGAAGAATTTACCCATAAAATGCTATTGTGCAATTAGCGAGTTGTTTTTTTTTACTTCCTGATTGCACAATAGCATTTTATGGGTAAATATCTGACTCTATTTATTTTTTTCCCAAATTTATATCCTCCCCTGTGACTTCAGGCTATTCACCGTCCATAGTATTTAGACAAAATCCACAAATTAAGCCCTTAAACTTAATTTAACAACTCAAAAGCCTCTAATTAGAACAGTGAAAAATTAGGAGGAAAATAAAAAAAAAAAATTACACTAGCTTTCTAATTTTTTTTTAACATTCGTTATGATGATATTTTAAAAGGGAGAAGAAACAATACGGATGTTTAGGTCCCGATTTTAAACACTAGAAAATATAGTAAGAAAGGAGAAAATATAAAACCAATAAAATGTAAGTGGATAACCAACAAATCTTGAATATATTCTAGTCCATTAGTAGAATATCATAATGTGCTTCATAACCTAATTTCTAATCAAGAGACGTTTCTATTAAACTCTAAAACATTTGATTAGCACAACTGAAATCAATGAAGGGGAGAAGGACAGCTATAAATAGATATGCATACAAATGTCTTACCAGACCAACAAACAAAGGCTTAAGCCCCAGATGGTTGTCCAGACCCCCATGATGGGGCAACCTACCCAAGATCACTGTCTCTGGGCTGTTGGTTGGTTGGTTGGCGACCTTGGGCAGCTTACAAACATTGAAAGCCAATAAAATGGAATGGAATTCAAACTTATCTCCCAGATTTAATTTCATAAATGTTTGGAATTAAGTTCATGGAAGGCACCATTTTGATCTTCCTTATTTTTAAAGGCCAGTCCTTCATTTTCTTCTTTATGTTTTCACAATGTAAAGGAATTTCTGCAAGCAAATGGCCAAGCTCAGATGGGACCCAGGAATGTAAGATCTCTCAGCTAAGATGTAATATAAATAATCTAT